GTTTGGCAGGAGTATAATGATAGTAAATTTGTACTATGATAAGTTAAATAAAACACATTAAAAGTTCTAGGAGAAACACTAACAGAATAGCAATAGGGTGTATACAATTCTAAACTACTAAAGGGAAAAAGATTAAAAAAAAAAATTCAATCCAAAAGAAAGTCCAGAAAAAAATTGCCTCCTGGTCTTTTGGCTATGATCAAGTGCAAAAAAATGTCAAGGAAAAAAATGATAAAAAGAAACAGAAAGATTAGAATAAATAGAAGATCTAAAATAGCAATGTAAAAAAAAAAGAATTTGAATGCAACAGACACAACCGATGTAAATAAAGTAAACTTTCTACTTCAATAGTCAATTTTCATGCCTACATTTTCTTTCTTTTTTTTTAAAAAAAAGATTTATTTATTTATGCATACAAGAACTGGGTACAGTCTAGAGATGTGGGGAGTGAGAGGATTCACCAGAGACAAAGTGGGGAACAGAACAGGCGGACTGACTGAAATACACTGCTGAAGAGAGCAGTGGGCCAGACAGGCGAGGTCTGCTGCACCATGTGGGTAGCTCCCTGGCCAGGGATTGAACTCATGCTGTAGTGGCTTTGGTTGGCTTGATAGTACTGAGACATAACCCCTTGCACCACCAGGGAGGCCCCCATTATTTGAGGACAGAGTTACCTATTTATTTCTTTCCTTGAAGTTTGTATATTAATTGTACTAATTTATTTACTACGTTTGAAGGGGGAATAGTGGTTGTGTTTTATAGCAGATTTTGTGCCTTAAGTAAGCTTGGGATTACACATTTGTATTTATAAAATGTTCTATGGTAGTACCTTACATAAAATGCTTCAGTTTATGAAGAGCATTTATAATGTTATTCAATTTCTGTTTTTCCAATAGACATTAATAACATTCTAAACTGCAAAAATTTGTTTACAAACTACTTTTCAGGAACACACAAACTGAATAAAGCACTGCACACCTAAATTAGTAAATGCTTCACTTCAACAATCCAGCACTAAGCCTCTTTATTTAGACCATTCCCTTCATTAGAACTGGGCTGACTTGCTGTCGGATTATAGTGCCAAGTTTAAGAAGAAATTAAATACCATGGACAGCTGCTCTCTAGGCCAATGACAGCCTAGCACCATATCAGATCAAGAGACTTCAGCAGCCCTGCCAGAAACACAAGCAAAATCACTGCTTCACATCCTGCAGGATTCAAATTTATTCCTAACCAGCTATGGATAGGTTTTTTATAAGAGAGTCACAATCATTTATAAGTAAAAATACCCTTAAGACAAAAATTTCTCCTTAGCATAAATATTTCTAAACCCAAGTTAATGGCCTACTTATTTCAAGCAAATTTCTAAGTAATAAACTTCAGGACAATTAAAGTATTTGTAAGTTTCATTGCAGTTAATGGTAATATCTGACCTGTATATATGCACTGTATATGAACTAGAGCTTATAAATATTATAGTATGGCAAATACTATATGCCCCTAAGGATCACTGACCTGTTTAACTCAATGATTCACTGGGACAAATTCCAATCTTCAGGAAATGTTTGGCAATTATCAAATTTGATATGATTTATTCTAATTCAGTTTTCATTTAAGAATGGAAGGTAAAAAGAAGGGACCTAATATTTATCAAAAAACCTACATTTGCTAAGGACTATGTTAGCTGCTTAACACTCATTTCTTCACTTAATAATTTTCCTAACCTTATGAAGTAGCTATTATTACTTTAATTTTCCAAATTAGGAACTAAGACTCAGAAAGTTTATAGGACTTCTCTGAGGTTACAAGGCTTATCACAAGGCTGGGGTATAAACTTTTGTTCCCATAGTCAAAGGGTAAAGGTCATGTCATGACATTATACAACAGTTAAAAAAGGATAATATCACCAAAAAAAAAAGTAATAAGAAAAATAACAAATGAAAAACTACACCTGGCATGGAATAACTAAATGAAATGTGAAACTATTACTTTATGAAAAATCTTCACATTCACATTTTTCCAAGCTTCACAGTTATCCCATGACATCATCATTAATGAAACCAAGACTTTCAATTTTTCTATGAAGCAAGTAGTTCTAAAGATATTTCACTGCCTAGAGTCCAGAAGAGTTGATGATTTCTTTTGAGCAAGACCTACTGAAGATCTATGTACTATCTAAAATATTTTTCTTTCATAGTCCCAAATTGCCAGTAATTGTGCAAATAAGAGAATTCGGTGATTTTGCATGAAAATATGTTTAGCACTTTGCCTCCTATGTTCTTATACAGCACACTCCTCTTTAAGAAGTCTCCATTGTGGGTTACATGTGGCTTAGGGTCTATTTTCTCAGTGTTATGATGTCAGAAGCATCAACTTCTGTGCAAAAGAAGGCGTACACAATGAGAAATAAATTTTACAGATGAGGGAAATAGATGGCCATGATCAAGGACTCATTTCTTCTTGGGAAAACTTATCTCAGTGCTTGGGGAGCAAAATCTCCATAAGAATTCTGAAATCAGGCATATGATAAACACTATAGCCTGAGAAAACAATTTCAGTAACAATTCAAAAGTGATACTGGCAAGGTGAAAATTCCTAAAGGAAATCACATATTCTGTTTGACATAAAAATATATAACTGTGTTCTGGAATTTTTGAGGAATACAAAACAAGTCATGACTATGTTTCAAATTCCATTCGTGGGCCTCCCTAGTGGCGCAAGGGGTTGAGACGCAACCTATGACGCAATTGGCAGGCTCTGCACCACGAGTTCAATTCCCCGGCTGGCCAGGGAACAACCCACATGGTGCAGTAGTAGATCTCTCCTGACTTGCCTGCTGCCACCCTCATCAGTGTACTTTGGTCAATCTGCCGGTTCTGTTTCCCACTGTCTCTGGTGAGTCCTCTCGCCCCCCGCACCTCTGGCCTGTACCCCAGCTCTTGTATGCATAAATAAATAAATCTTTAAAAAAATAAAATTCCATTCATATGATAACTTATAGTTCATATGGTTACTGTATGCCCAAAAAATTAATAATCATTAAAATGAATAAATTATAGTTATTTGATGCTTAAAGGAAAATAATAAACACATCTGGGTGGCGATATAAGAAAGAGAAGAAATAGTCATGAACATAATCTGCTTTCTTTTTTTAATTAGGTAAATGCAGGATTTCCTAATTTAAATATACATAATACTAAGCATAGCGCAAAATTATGGATATGAATACCAACTGTTAAAGAATGTCTGCCTATGTTTCAGACTGTTAAATTATCATAAATATGATAGGACTTAATATAGTAGGTAAAATTCTTCTAAAGCTACTTTAATGAATGCTATATAACTGATTGGATACTGTCTATAAATTGTATTTTTAAAGTTTTCCCTGAATTCATGAGACCAGCTCTTCTCAACCTCCATTAGAACACACACACACACAAAAAAATCCCCCTGTTCTCTTGCACACACCATTGGATTGCTCTGCAAATTCCTTTTTCATAAAAGTTTCCAACATAACCTTCATCCCAGTCTGCGTCTAAGTTAATGAAGTTCCAATGAGGTGTAACAAAACAAAAAAGTACTGAGCTCCCAAAAAGACAATTTACCCTTGATATGCCAAGGAAATGATACTAAATGATTGCCTTTCCTCTAAAACATATGCCTTTGCCTTGGTAATTATTCAACTCAAATTGGAATAAACACATCCTGGATTAATGCAAACCACTCAACCATGCTTTTGGCTACAAAATCAGAGCAGGAAGAGGGGCTCCAACAAGCCTGCTTGTGCTCTCAAGGAAATAGACTCAGTCATCACATCTGAATGCTTGTTTGCATGTACACTGCTAAATGATATTTTTAACCACAGTTTCTAATAAACAACCATACACTGAATAAAATGTCAGGGAAAAATGCTGTACAAAACATTTATCTTTTGCTTGTAAAAAAATAGAAATATTTCTAGTGTTTTTTCCTGCATGTTGCTTCTATTTCATAGCTGCTATAAAAATGTTGGGTAGTCATCAAACTTGACCATAAAGGATATACATTTAATAAGTATCATTTTTTTTTCTTTTTATGCTGGACAAAATATCCCATCCTGCACTCAACATCTGCTTCTTGCACATATAAGAATTTTTCCAGATGCTACTATGAAAAGTCTGCATATGTATTTTGGTTTTCTGTTTAAAATCACATGCAGAGATGACATTCCAATGTTAGACTATAAATCAGAACTATATTACTATATGTAATGTAAAATCTTATCAGTCTTGCTTATTCATCATTTACATTTTTGCAGATCAATTTCCTTGTGTTCTTTTTTATCAATTTGCTTGTCACCTAGGATGGTCATATCTGTCATTAACACTCCCTTAAATTCTGCAATAAAAATAATTCAGGTCATGCTTTTTATGGTGTGCAAAATGGACCACAGAGCTGCAGAGGTAGGCTACAGGCCTGGCCAGGGACTTCCTTTCATGGATCCTCTAACGTTCCTGGCCAAGTGTTCTGAAGCACTGTGTATGGACCAAGAATACTGGTTTATAACCACATAGACCAGTCCTGCAAGGTTGATGACTTAAAGGTTCAGCTCGGGCAACACATTTTTCCCAGCTATCTTTAAAGGGTTCTTGATCACATGCCCATGTAAAGAAAAAGCCCTGCAATTTGCTAGGCACACATGCACACACAGTTCCCAAGAAAAAGCAAATTTCTCACAAAATCATTATGTCTACCTTCAGAAAATGAGACAAACAACTGTTGAGATGCTCAGGGATGCTTATGTGTAACTCGTCTGAAGCTGGTAGGGATCTTGAGCACTTAGCAGACCTCTACAAGAATAGCCCCAAGTCATTTTTTTCTGTTTCCATGTTAGTCTGCTTAACACAGAACTGCAAAAAGAAATCTGCTAACCAGAACACCATCACATTTAAAAAGCTGTAGATCTCAAAAACAGAACTATGGTTAAAAAGAACATTAAAGAAACAACCACCACCACCAACCTTTGCTTGGGCCTCTGGTGCTGTCACCTTGACGACCTTATTGCGATTGAGCATTTGCTTGACCCATCTTTCTACTTGGACGTTGAATTTCATGAAAACCACATAGGAAAAATAGGCTGATAAGAGGAGCAAGCTTTCCCACCACATGATAACATTATCCAGGAAAAATATGATCAGCATGATCAAGTCAACGATGTAGAAGGACACATCTCGAAAAAGCGGCCACCACGTCAAGTTTAAGATTTCTCTAGAAAACAGAGCGCACATTCCAATGACAAAGAGGATATTGAACACTGCTGAGCCCACAATTGTGCCTATGCCGACATTGCTGTGAGCAATAAATACCCCTATGAGTGATGTGAAAAGTTCTGGCGCAGAGCCCCCTGCAGCCATAAAGGTGGCTCCAGCCACATCATCAGAGATGCCCAGTTTTTCAGTGATGACAGTCAAAGAAGGAACAAAGAACTCATCGCAGACAATGGCTAAGGCTATAAACATGTAGATCATTCCAATGACATGGAGAATGATGGCGCCTTTTCTTCGCTCCGCCAGGGAAAAGATGTCTCTTGGGTAGTCTCCTTGGACGTCATCTGTACTATTCTCAGACTTGCCTTCGTGAGAAAGAGGTGGCTGTGGAGTGTAATCCTGGATCTTGTCATTGAAATCTAAGAGAGTTCTTTGCCAGTGACTGTGTGCTACCCTAGGGCCATTTGCATCATTCGCTTCTCCTGTGCTCTGTGCCTCTGCCTCAGAAAAGGCACTGATTGAAAATGGAATGGTGCTAATTGCTACTAGGCCCATGAAAAGGCCTAAGATTCGAATTAACTTCAGTTTTTTCCTCACATTACAATGTCTCCGGCAGCCAGATGGTGACTTATCCGAACACCATTTCTCAAGAAATGTGATGGTGGTGCTTTGATGCAGATCCATCCTGGATCTTCTGGTGGATGTGGTGGTCTTCAAATTGTAGACTCAACCAGATGGCTCTTTCATACTTTTTCTCACTTTATAGTTAATGGTGCTTTGGGGGACACTTCCACAATCAGGGATTCTTAAGCTTCACAGGAAATATTTTCAACATTTATGCTTAAATAAAAATAAAAACAAGGATAAGTAAATCATATCTTTTTTACAAAAAGAACTCTACAGATCTGATTAAGTCCCATCTTACAGCTGTGTGAGCTTGAGTAAGTAACTTAACTCCTCTGTACCTCAGTTTTCCTATTCCAAAAATTAGGACAATTATAGCACCTGCCACCAAGGATTGCTTTGAGGATAAAGCACTAAGAATAGGATGTGGCACACAGTAGGCACTTTCAAACACATATGTAATGTACAAACCAAAATAAGTACTTTGGTAAAGCCAATGTTAGATGTAGATATATATTATAATGATTTTACAGATAACAATCTGTTTATTCCAAATTAAATCAAGAAACAACCTCCCAATGCTAAAGAAGATCCCATTTCTTTTAGAACTACCTATGCACTTGACAACCCAGAGTTATTCATTGTTTTCTTTTCGTCCAATTACATACTTCCAGTGGCAGGCACACTTTCCTGATTTACTGTATCATTTGGAAAGGGTTGATTGTTGCAGGGAGCACTCTTTGCCTGCACAGAGTTTAGGACCTTCTCTTTCATGAAAAGTCTATCCTCTATGAGATGCAGAAAAGTTGCCCTTTAAAAAGTGAAGTTTACCAAAAAAATTAAAGTTTACAAAAGAATGAACACATTTCTTCCCTAAACATCTAGACATTGCTTTCAACTAAGGCTTATTTTTTAAGAACAAACTCTAGTCATATTTAAAATAGACAACTTAGTAAATCAAGCAAGTCCTAACAAGTAGGCTATTTCCAGACCAAAAGTGTAGTTCATAAACAATATGCAATTTGCAGCTACACCTCTATCCACAAAATCTGCCAAAAATAGCCCCAACACAGACTCTTGCAGTAGGTTACATATCCCAGCAGTTTTCATTCGCTATCCCATAGAGGATGTGGGTAAAATATTCAGACATGACAGCTGATATTCTGAAGGTTCTTTTTTCTTTTTCGTTATTTCTTTAACATTGCTTTGGGTTTTTTTCCCCCTGTATCAGCGATTTCATTTTAGAAGCGTTTGCTGAGATCATCTCAGGTATAAAATAAGCTAATTAAACACATGCCACTTAAACATTGAGATTAGCTGGAGCTCAGGTTTGCAGAGAAAGAGCACAAGTCAAATCAGGCTGAGTTGCTGCTACTCCTGAGATAAACCGACCCATCACAGAAATTGCTGGCTGACTGCAGATGTCAACGCTTAGCAGGGAAGATTAAGCGTCTCACAGCGCTCTGGGGATTGTCACAATGCTGGCTAGGGCTACCGGCCGCGACCGACTTAACCCCCGGGGCGCAAGATCAGCTCCAGCCCCAGCCGGGCTCGACCAGTCAACCCAGCGCTCCGCTCCATAGAAGCTACCTCGGCCGGCAAAGTGCACCCCCAGCCGCGCCCCAACTTTGCCTTGTGTGGTCCCAAACTTTCCCCGGTGGGTTATTAGGAAAATAAAACTGAAGGACAGCCGCCCCACTAGCGAGGCCGGAGCTGGGATGCAGCTTGGGGAGGCGCTTGGCCCGCCTATCCCTGTATCATTTGTGGGTGTCGGGGAAGGGAGAGCCCCTTTCGCGATTCTCCCCCAACAGCAGGCCCTCCCGCGACCTCCTACCCCAAGCCAGAAGCCTGCACCGGGAAACCGCGCCCCGGGTGTAGGGAGTTGGCTAACTCCTGGAGGGGCCTGGGGGGCACGCAGGTCCAGCTCCGGGCCACCTGTGCGCCTGCGGCGCAGCAGCGGGATGCGCGCCACCGGCTCCGCGGCCACCAACCCTGGTAGCTGGGGGTGCTGAGTTGCCCGCACTTACCGGGTTCCACCAGGAGGACGCGCCGCCGCGGGGACCCGAGCCGCTTTCTCCGGTCGGTCGCCTCCCGGCTGCGCAGCCCGGGGTCTGGCTGGGGCTCGCGCTAGCCACAGCGGTCGTCGCCGGCCGGCGCTGGGCTCGCGAGGAGACTGAGCCCAGGCGAGCCCCAAGAGCCGCCTCTGGTGCTGCCCCGCCCCCGGGCCCCGCCCTCCGGGCTCCGTTCGGGGAGCCCCGCCGCCCAGCGTTCAGGCCCGCGCGCTCTGCTCCACGCCCACCCCACCGGGCGCTGGGGCGACGCCGGCCGTCGTCTCTTAGGAGATTTCTCTGCAGTGGGGATCCAGTCAGGATTTGCAGGCGAGCAAGGGCAGAGAGGAGAAATCGTACAGGTCGGTGACGCGCCTCATTCCCAGAGCCTTATAAGTGCGGCCAACTTTGAGGTCACCTACACTGGGCACCTGCTCTCCAATTATTTGCAAAAAAGTGACAGCCGGCATATATTTCTTTTGGAGGCCTTGTGATGGGTAGCGATGGGAAAGAAAAAAAAAAAAAAAGCATGCAGCCAAAAGGCACCGAGGCTGTTAGTTCCCAACCTCGGGAGTTCCCCTAGTGAAATACAAAACTGACTTGCATATGGAGGGCAGGGAGAGAGGAAGAAAAAGGCAGCTCCCTCCAGAATGGTAGGTGGCAGTTTTGGTAAGGAAAACCTACACACTGGATTTCTTTTGCGCTGCCAGCAAGAGTGGATCTCTGCACCCACAGGCTAGAATCTTAAAAGTTTATTTAGAGGCTTTAAGAGGGGTTTCATTCACTCAGACTGCCAGAATACCGCAGGGTGGTTTCAATAACACAGTATGCTCTTAAGGCCGTCCTTGAAGTGACTCCTAGTACTGGATTAATGAACTCAACTGATAGTCAAAGGACAGGGGACCCTCCAATTGCTTGGGTGGGCTCTCTGGTCATTTGGTAGTCACTGTTCTCTCTCTGACCTCCATCAACAGGCCTGCAGGATTATCTCTCTGTTCAGACCTAGGATTTGCAGACAGTCCATTCTTTTCATGAATGATGAGACTAAGACCCAAGATACCCTGTCATTTTGAGTCATAGGCCGTATTCATATTCTGATCTCTACACTTCCAGGTCATCACTCTTTCCTGCTCTGTTCAGAAAGCACCATGGCCTTGACCATAAACAATCGAGCCAACCTTACTGAGAGTAAGAGGGAAGGATCTGGACCAAAGGGTGGGAGAAGATAGACAACTGGTTATTGAGGGAAGCCCCTTTTATCCAGTCTGGTGACATCAGGAAGGGTGGTAAGAGTTTCCCACCACAAGAAACCTTTGAGGTTGTCGGTGTACATTTCCCATCCTTATTATCTTTTCTCCTTCCTGTTTTCTTCATGCCTTCCTGGGACAAGCAGGGAATGTCTATTTGTATTCCCACAGCCCACTATATGTGACTTTTAGTAAAACTGCATACTCAGAACTCTACACTTATTCTTTATAAGTCTAGGGAAGTCTTGGGAGCTTAGAAATTTCTTTTCCTCCCACAAAAGCCAAGTATTTAAGGATATTGTCTTGCAAAAAATTTGGAAGTTGTAGGCTGAACTTTTTTTTATATTTCATTTTGGAAATTTTCAGGCATAAACAAATGTAAAATAATATTTTAATGAGCTTCTATGGGGCCATCACCCAGCTTGAACAAATAACAAATCATGGACAATCTTTTTTTTTTTTTTAATATATACCCTTTTTCCTTTATCATCTTTTAAAACCAAATCCCAGATATCATATCATTTTATCTGTAAATATTGACAGGAAGTAAGGAAGCTATCAACCACTACTAGGGTTGTGTCAAAGAGGCTAAGGAGCCAATTCAAATATGTTCCCACCCTTAGCCAGGGATGGATCCATTTGAGGATCAAAAATTGATAATTACTATTATTTCAAACACATCAAATATAAGTATATAGTATAGTAATTCTTAAACTATTCAGTTGTTTGATCACTGTTGATGTGTAAAAGGGTATGAACTCATTATTTTGAAAATTTCCAGGGAAAAAGAAAACAATCATGCATTTGTTCTGTCCTTTTTATACAAACTGGATTTCAGGATAACCAGTTAGGTTTTACTTTTACCCTGCCTTAGCTTTTGCTTTCCTGGTTTAAAAATCCTAATCTTCTCTAATGCAATGGATGCCACTGGCTACTTAGGGAAGAGGAAGATCTTGTTGGCTCATAACCTCATGAGTTACTCAGTGAAACATGAACAACCCCTTCCCCTCTTTTTGGAGAGGAGACCAAAAAGAGACAGGCCACTCCAGATTGGTAGGTGGCAGTTTTAACAGGCAAGGGAATTCACATACAAGGCTTGTTTTGGGTAAGCCTCAAGCATGAATAGATTTCCACCCTTGCCCACCAGAATCTTAAAAGTTTGTATAGAGGCCTTAACTGGGTTCATCACAAATACCATCCTGGTGGTCTCAACAACACATTCTTTTCTCTGGCTGAGCCTTGAATCAGTTCCTGATGAGGGAATGGTGGGTGGAATCTACATTCCATAGGCAGAGATAGGGGGCTTTTGATTGCCCAGACCAGCTCTCAGGTCGATTAGTAGTCACAGCCTCTTCATGATCTCCACCAACATTTATGTATGTAAAGTTCTGCATAAAAGAAAATGATTGTAGTAGATTTTTAAAAACATTATTAACTGTAATCATGTCATACCTCTCCTACTAGTTCAATTAACTCTCCCTATGGCCCAGAAATAATTCTGACTGCCCACTTGGTGGGAAAGTTGATGAGAAGCAGATGAGGTCCAGATGAAGACACCATCAGTCTGTAGGCTGTATTGGAATTTGTACTTAATTGCATATAATAGAAATTCATTCTTAGCAATACAACCAAACATAAATTTATTTTTCTGATGTAAAAAGAAGTCTGAAAGCAGATTGCCCAGGGTTTGTATAATAGCTCCATGAGGCCCTCAAGGAACCCAGATATTTTGAGATGTCTTTAATACATAACTTTCATCCTCATAGCCACAAAATGGTTGCCTCTTTCAGGCATCACATTTGTGTCCAAGCAGGAAGAAGGAAAGAATGAAATACAAAAGGCAGAATGGCTCCTTGCTAGGCCTTGCCTTTTTATTTAGGAAGGAACACTGTTGAAGCTTTACTTACATTTCTTTGGCCACAATTTGTTCATGTGGTCATACCTAGCTGCAAGGGAATAGAGAGTATTTTAAAGGGCTACCAGCCAGCTTTCAGAAAATCAGGGTTCTCTTATTAATGCAGAACAGGGAATTGAACATTGGATGAGTGACTAGTAGTATTTGACACACAGTTCCATAGTATCTCTATGAGATCCGCATTTGACTGAAGATTTGGCAGCTGAACTTGGCAATCAGCTACCGTGATAGTTGAGAAAAAGTGAAACCACCATCATTATAGTAACAGATAAAGGCCTGGCCTATTATTTATCTGTGTCACACAACATGAAAGCAGTAGCATGAATGAATGTTTATCATTCACCCAGATCCATGAACATGACTGCCTGAAAAAGGGAGTTATATCTATAACCAAAGGATGAATTATTTAACAACCACCTTCAGCAAGTCCTGTGTTAAAAGATTTCATTAGGGTAATCAGTGGGTTTCTCTGTAGAAATTATTAAAGAGCCAAGTCTTCAGTTTTTAGATATTGTGTAAGTATAAACATTGTTGGCATCCTATTTATCCTCCTATTAACTGTATGATTTATTTGAACATAGAGATTATGGGAATCATTGGTGATTAAGAATGGTGTACTCTTTTTGTAATTCTTGAGAGGAGCCTTTCAAAAATCAATAATGAATTTGAAAATGTGTGGGTTCATGCTTAAATTACTAAGAGATTTTAAATATAAAATTGTCATGTGCTGGTTAATACTTTGAGAAGCACTCATACAACATTGTCAAATACATAAAATAGCATGGTTTAAGGTAAGATTGAAAAGGTCCCCTTACTCCCCGCGAATGATATCCCCAGTTGGCACTGTGCCTACAATTCCACCATTAGAAATATATAGCTTTGGCTTTTTATTTTAGATCTTTAAGATTTCCTTTTGAGATGTAAATGGGTTCTAGAATTACAGTAATAATAAAGAATTTTACATTGGTTTTGATTTAACCTTCAGTCTAAAATGGAAAAAAAAAATAATTCTAGTAAATTATGAAGGATAGGTGGAAGAGAGATAGCTGAGCCAGGAAGAGGAACAAGATGAAGTATTCAGATTTTAGTTTGTCAATTTAATCATCACGTTTTCCATTCTCCTCCCACACACTACCTTTCTCCCTTTTATTACAATCTCTAGCTTCTCTGTTATCAGTACCTGCAGGCGATCAGGACATATTGCACAAAGGATTCAGTACTCACAAAGGCAGTAGTTCCCAACCTTTACTCTAGCTAAACATTAGAATCCATAGGGGATTTTTTTTTTATTTAAAAAAAAACAAAAAACCTTCTTACAATGTCCCCCTCATTTTCCCTTTACTAAGAGCTCATTGAGGGCAAGAATCGGTAACATGCATTTCCCAGCACCTAGCAGAGTGCTTGGCATTTGGTCAACATATATTTGTAGAATGAATTAATATTGCCAGCAAGTGCAATTACTTAAAGGACAGTGAGTCAAGTAGGAGGGTGCAGGTTGTGCTGAGGTAACAAAGAGCTCAAAAAAATCACAGTGGCTTAAAGCAGCAAACTTTTTTGCTTTTCACTCATACCACCTGTCCTTTGTGAATTTTGCTATGTCATTCTTACTTTTGCCCCAAAGTGGGTCACTCTATGGAAACACTGGCAGTTGCTGTCATAAAGACAAAAGATACATGGCAAACCTTGTACTTGCTTCAGCTTCAGCTTGGAGGGGATGCATTTATGTTGCTCAGATTTCATTGGCTAAAGCAAATTGCATGGCCCTATTTATCTTGTCGGGGACAAGAAAGGGCAGTTGCACATGTATTTGAGAGAAGAATGGAAAGATTTGGTCAAATGACCACCACAATGGACAACAGGAGCAAAAAAAGGGGAATA